CAATAAAAATAAAGTGGTGCCATAATTTATTTTAGCTTCATTTACATCTTATGAAAACATCTTTAACTGTGACACTTTATGGAACTGTGGCTATACCAGCCATATGCTTGGCTCTGAATCAGGGGTCAGAGCCACTTCAGCGTATACAGGTTGACAATCTGTACCTCTTTATTACATGGACTGGAGCTCAAGCTTCCAAACACCACAAGCTGCAACTCATTTAACTACAAGCAATCTGTCAGCTCTAACCAGACTCCATGGAGTAATGACTAATTCTAGGATTTGGTGTTATCATGAGAAGATACGCGGCCCTGGTGTAACAGGATGAACCACAAGCAAAAGAGAAATTAATGAACAGTGATGTTGCAGTTTATAAATATCAGCATTCAGAAGTCTCTCAAAAGCTTTAAAACATCAGAAGTGTTCTATAACTAAACTTAAGATAAAGCCAAGATCAGAATACATGTCCCCGTGTATCCCTCCATTTCCTTCACCCTTCACAGCTCTCATCTGCCCTGTAACGAACAGCACATCTGAAGTCCTACATCTTTCCCTACAGCATGCTGGCTCTATTTCACTTGAGGTAGAGTGTGTCTGCACAATACCTCCTGATTGCTGAGGCAGGGAGTTATCAGAAAGATGCCAGAATTATGAACGTGTAGCAGACATTCACTCTTAGAGTAAGACAGTATATTCAGAAAGTTCATACCTGGGGAAAACTGAAAGGATGTGATACATAGTGAAGAGGAAGAATGCTCTCATCAGCATTTCTTTCTCACAGTCTTCCTTTTGAATGTCCATTTGATTCAGCCAAAGGATACTAATTTAGTAGTTACTCTCCAATATCTACAGAAATAATATTTTTTGGCAGCTAGTAGATGCATATATATATATATGCTTATATATGTTTTCTTATAGTTAAATTATTGTTGCCATCAAATTACAAAAGATGGCTCCACAAGACATTATTTAAAAAGCATATAGAAAATAGGCATAATTCTTACCGAAAATAATATATAACATTAAAAAGTTACCACAATGAATGGCAAGCACATATCTTGAAGGGTTGTTTGTATTTTTTTTCCACAAGGCTACAGGTTATTTTTCCTATCTATACCACAGAAAGATAAGAAATTATAAAACCTGACTTGCATTCCTCCAAGACAGCACACAGGTTTTGTCTAAAATTCATCACTGCCAGTCAGCTGGAAAAATAGGATGACTTTGAAATTCTGTTTTTCCCTAAATCTAAACCATAAACGTGCTTATTTATGCCCAAGAGCAATTTAAGTGTATAATTTATTATTTTTTTATGGTTCTTCCTCTCAACAGCATGATTTTTCTCTACAATAAGGGTGTCAGATGGTTTGAACCATCACAATTTGAGAGTGGCCACATGGATTCAAGCTAATGCAGTTAATGAAGTCTAAAAATCCAGTAAAAACACTTTAAAAATTTTATTTTCAAAACCAAAAGCAACCTCCTAAAAGCTGTTTTCATCATTGCACCAACCTTCATTTTTCTAAGGTAAATGAAACTTAGAAAGTAGTGTGCTGTATTTTCTCACTTGAATTATATTTATAGACTTTCAGGCAGAGGGTAAGATTGCCCCCTTTTGGAATTTTTAAGTGTAACAGTCCAAATAAAGAATTAGGTGCAAAGCATTCCTAAACCCTACTCAAGATATACATCTGATCAAGGATCATTTGTGCTTCATATTGTTGTGTTCTACTGTTATTATATATGTGGCTTCACATTCTTTATTAAAGCAATAGACATGAAAGAATTCAACTGCTCTTGCCAGCAAACACAAAAGCACAATATCTATAGTCAGATAAAGGTAAACATACAGAACCTTCCAAAGAATGCTGTAGTAAAGGTGGAACATGGACTGCATTCTCCCCTTCTCTGCTCTGTAGGACAGACTTCACAAACAGTAATCTGTAATTACAGTGTACCATAAAGTAGCATTGTCTGATAAAAGCAAGGACTCCTCACTGACCTGACCATGACTGTGCAATCAGGAGTAAGTTCTTATAGAAGGAAAACAAGTGCTCTGATATGGCTTTAAGGAAACAGAGGAACCAATGGATGTCTTTTAATAGCATTATTGCTCTTTAGGCAGACAAAAAATGTACATAATTACAGTTATTTTTATTTTATTTCAGGACTAAGTCTGGAGCCTCAATCCTCTTGAGATGCACTGAAACACCTGCTATACCCATACCCTCTGCTGTTGTCTCAAGACCAGCATGTAATCCTATGTAAACAATTCCTTGTTTATGCATTGACATTTTTCTTTCTCAGCTGTTTCCACCACTGTCTGCTCTGTCCTTTTCAGCATGTATGTTCTTAAGATTCAGTGGACAAGACTACCCTTAAACCTCTCTACATGTATTTTTAGCCATATTATTGAAGGGTAGCTTTATTAAAGAGCTTCAGCCTATGTAACTGAACAAACTGCTAGGCAAATGTTTAGGGGTAAGCTCATTAACAGTCACTGTTTTCAAGGCTAGAGTAATAATTATTTCCCAGGAATTATACATGTAAAGTTCTTTCAATTAACAAAGCCCACTCATTTTCATAGGAGCCTGGTGGCCCAGAATTGGTAGAGTTTAATCTGAATAAGTATATTGGTATGGTTCAATGGCCATACAACAAGAAGAAACATGGAGACCGGTTGATAGACTGACATAAACCAGAAATGAAATAGAAATCAGAGAGTATTATGGGGCTACACTCATCTGTCTCATCGTAGCTGAAACAAGACATTTGTTCAAGCAAACTAAGAGCCAGCAGGCAGTACACCACAGCAGACACAGAGGAAAATAGAACATTTAAGCTGTGCAATTCTGCTGAAGAACTCATTGCTTAAACCCTGAATGCAATTTAAGTAACACCATGATGTTCATTTGTCTCAGCCCCAAGCTCTAAGGAATATTATATTTTGTTTTCCATTTTACTTCAATCAAAATTCCAACAGCAAAGGTTATTGGCTTTCAACAATTTAAGTACAGTTCAGTGAACTAAACTGATATTAGACAGTAATATTTGTTTATAGGGAACAGTACTGACCTTACACCCTGAGCACAATGCTGTGGAGCAGTGTTCATGTGGATGTTATAAAAACATCACTGTTCAAAATAACTTCAGTGCAGGTGCCTCAGAAGTAGGAAACATCACTTACAGTTAAATTTTTAAAAATTAAAAAAGACATCAGCAACATTTTTTCATGTAATTTATACTGCAATATTCTTAATCTCTTAGATATCAAACTTTATAAAGTTTGATCACTTTGAAAGTGATCCTTATCACTTCCATACGCTTTCTCTTTGTGTTACAGTACATAGATTATCATAACATTGAAGATAAGGTATTGTAAATTCCTGTTTTCATAAAAAAAGCTGAAGTCTCAGCTTTACTGCCTAAAACTCAGAGCAAAAATCACCATTACACAAAAAGCACCAAGTGTAACAAGATGAACCGCAATGTAACTTTCCAGACTGTTTGCCCAAGTTGCTTAATGCCCTGTGTGTTTCTGTTGAGGGAAAGTGAGAGCTTAAGTTGAATTATGTCTTTGCTGCTCTTGAAATACTTTAAACAGTCATTTAAACTGCAGCCAGTGTGTCATGCATTCCAATACAGAATATAAGAACCTATGTATTTAGTGTCACTGTAAGACTTTTACCTAGAGTTTTCCTTCCAGTGCCACGAAGTTGATCATGAGGAAGGAATGCACTCTGATCATGTTCATTACCTTACTAAATGTGACTTCTAAAGAGATCACTTCATGTGTCCTCAAGGATGCTGAAAAGATATTTTATTAAGAGAAACGCTTGATTTCCTTTACTGACAAATTCATTGGACCAAAAGGCTGTCATTAATCTGTAGCTATCTTAATATCTATATATGGAAGAGGAATACTCCAGCAAGACATACAGTCTTTATTTAATAACCACATTTTTTTATTTTATAGTTACTAAAAATACTCTACAAGGATAAGGATAGGAGAAGGAGAAAATCCACTTATCCTTTCAGAAAATTTAAATATGAATTTTATAGGGCATACTTTTTTTACACATAAAAGGCTCTGGATCTCCATCCTTAATTCCCTGATTTATTTTACCCCTTTGCTATTAAGAAAGGACATTAAGCAGCACTGCCAACTGATACATAGTTTTGCTCCTGATTTTAAAAATGCTTTAAAAAAGTGTTAGAGGCAATAAACTTTTCAGCTCCTTCCTTAAGCTAAGAGAAAAACCCTCATGGATTTTACTGTGGCTCAGAAATTTTTAGCATGTCTTCATCTTTGTCATGTTTTGATACAGAGTCTTCTGATTCTGTCAAGACATCCCTTATGGGTTGGGGACTCAACAAAGTCTTAACTCAGTTAATACACCAAAGCTTGAGTGGAAGGTTGGCCAAACATCCCCACTTTCTGCTACCGTCAGGCCTTCTCTGCTAATTCTTTACTGGGATCTACATGAGAAACAGGTTCTACATGCTTATAGGTAGTTTCTAATCAATTGTGCTCTTCATTCTCTTTCCACATTCTCAGGAAGGGTGGAGGCATCATACTTGAAACAAACCCAGCACCACTGCATAGCAGCTGTCCCAAGAACAGTGTTATTTGTAGGACAGGTAGGAATTCTATTTGCTTATTTGTTTAGATGGTAAAACTCTCCATCATTAGCAAATCAACTATGGAACCTTACTGAAGCATGTGATTGAGCTGATACAATGAAACATAATCTGAGTATTCTTAACAGAGAACTATTTGAAAATACTTGAAAGACTCATTGTGAGTGTAGGAGAGAATGCTTATTATGTGCTTCCATAATCACATATTTCATTCAAATTAGAATCTATTGAGTAAATCCACAAGCAATCTGTGAGTTCTGTAAAGCAATTCCCACACTCCACAATTGTTCTTCAGGCAACTAAAAGGCCATGTAGCATAGAAACAGCTGTAGGCTGCAGAATGTTTTCATCTGACTTACTGGGGAGTTTCCACTCTGCTTTTTTCAAAGTTCAAGACAGAGGATAGACTACTGGGCTCACAAATACAGCCAGATGTTGAACACTGTTGTAAGAGATATATTAAAAAGACTCAAAGCAGTGCCTGTCATACAAAGCTTTTTCGTCTCTATTAAACATCAACTCAGGTATCTTACCTGTATTTACAATTCCCAAACTTTTTTTTCTAATACCACTTAAAAGAGGTATAAGAGTGTTTGTAACAAGTCATATAATCAGCTAGGGCATTTGATCAGTAAATCTGAGTTGAAAAGCAGAAATTCTGTGTAAGTAGGAGGGGAATGTAGTAGAATGCTGCATGCATCGTGATTATGAAGTACTCTGCACAGAAATGTCAATTCTAAGGGATATATATTCTGCTGGTGTAAGAAGTGCTCTGAAGTAACAATTTACACTCATAAATGCTAACTGAATACTAGGCCAAATATGTGGCAAGTCGTTTGACACATAGCACATTTCTTTACATGCTTAGGGAATGCATCAATTTAAGGATGAAGAAGGCAAGAAGAGTGTCAAGAAGACACTTCTTGAAAAGCCAATCCCTTAGCTGGAAATCAATTTCCTAGAGTTATAACTGCACTAATAGGGAGTACTTATAGTTTGCTCAATGGCCAAAATCAAAATTAGAGGTCAAATCTAATATTCTTATTAGAGGGTTTTGGTTTTAAATTATTTTTTTAAAACAGAGCTAAATTTAGTCTCCAAACACCTTTTTTAAACAGAAGTCAAAGATTTCTGCTTAATTTTTTTGAACAAAGAGCAGATCAACACTGATTCAGAAATGGTTTCTGAATTTGTTTCAGCCCCAAGCTCTAAGGAATATAACATTTTGTTAAAGCTGATAAAATGTTATTCACCTTAAAAAAAAAAAGAAAAAAAGAAAAAATGCAGTTCTAGCTATTTCAAAAAGAATAAATTTACAATCAGTGTTTTCTGGTTGCCCTTTTCCTCTTCTCATCCTTGGCCAGGCAGACATCAAAACAGTGCTGGTTAGCCCTGAGCCACCCAAGTACTGGCATAAGAATGTTCCACCAAGTTTATTGAAAGTGTGGTCATTTATACCAGAAGTATACACAAACACCTTCGGAAATATGATTATCTTGGGAATTGAAGTGACTTCACTGATGCTTAATCCTCATTTTAAAAACAGTACTTGGGAAATTGAATACTTTATATGATAAATAGACTGATATTTCCATCAGACAGTGCTGAGATTTTAATCTTTTCAAAGAGATTGAAACTTCTTAGAGAGAGCCAATGACTTATAATATACATATGTATAACATACACTTTTTAATGTATACGTCAATTATATGTATACATTATGAGTAATTTTTAACAATAAAATTGAGAACATAATTAATGTGGCTGAATAAGGAGTCCTCAATTTATTCTAAAAATGCAGAAAATACTTGTAAAATCCTAGATTTATAACATCTAATAACATCATCTACTAACTCTATACTAGGGAAGCGCTATGAATAATAGTCAAGAATTGCAAGAGAGCCTGTGGAGATTAACAATAAAGTTTTAACCTCAATCAGCAAATGTTCATAAAGACAGAGTGTAATTGGCCATCACATTAAAAACAAAAGAAATGGGTATTAATTCTTTAGTGATTTACAGTGATTTATAGTGATTTATCTGCCCTTCTGTAATAGCAGGGATGGAGGTCAATGCAAAGTTTTAGGTAGGTTCTGTGAAGACTTCCCTTATCATGAGCTTAAAAGCGTTAATCTATATTTAAGAAAAGAAACCAGTAACAATCCATCGTGTATGTGGAAAAATGTACAGACAAGAATGTCATGCTACTTCCAAGACAGTCAATTAAACTGTAACATGCATGTTCACGCCAAGTTTCTTCCACCAAAAGGAACTGTCTCCATGAGACTGTTTAGCTATACAAATCACTATTTATCTAGAGCCTCTGTCAAGATGCAGTCAAATCGAATTCTTCCAGTGAAGATACACTCATGCTAAGTTATAGCACTGTTTTTCACTTCAAAAAGGCACCATAATCAGTTTATGAAACATTTAAAAAATCTAGGCTGGTGCAGTGCCACAGTTATCCATAAATGTTCTAAAAATGAAAAGTGCTGTTGCTATAGCAGGCTTGTGAGCTTTGAATTTGTTGCTAATGAGTATTGCTTGGAAAACATGCTGAGAAATAACTGTAGATTAATACCATGTTTCAGAAAATCCAAATGATCCTTTTTTATTCCATTTGTCATGGCATCTGAGTTTGGTAGCACAATGCAGAGCTCCTTGAACTCCAATTGGCTGGAGTCAATTTCTCCCATTCAAAATTGGTCCCATAAAGTTTCTGGTAACGCAAAAATGTACTTATTCTTTAGCTATCAGAAATGAACACACACACACACCTTTTTGCTGAGAATCAAAGGAAATAAGAACTTTTCATAAAATCAGTTTGTCTCAGACTGTCACAAACCACAAACTCTATGCTTACTCATTCCAGGCTGCCAGTTCCTAGCACTGGGTTTGCTCATGTGTAAGTGCAGGTAAATTATTGCTATAAACATCCTCCCATAAACTGACTCTTGAAGAAAACAGCAGAACGCAAACGGTTCCATAAATAGAAATTATAAACACCCAGTGTTAAATATAATTACTTGTTCATAACTATTGCCCATTAAAAGGTATAGACCACACATAAAAATACTAGTCTATACTTGGAATAAATATCTGCATACACTTGGAAGGCAAAAACAAGTGTTTTCTCCCCTACAAATATTTGAAATTCCATTCTTCATATAAAACATTCCACATATTTAGAGAACAGAAAGATATAATCTGCTTATGCATGCATCACATTAAAGGAAATGCAATTTTCATTCTTCAAAGATGAAAAATTGTTTCCAGAAAAGCATGTAATAATATGCTCATCAGATATGTGAACTTTATCAGAAATGATTTGAAAATACTTACATACAGTGGCTCCAGTTTGCTTTCTCCCTCACCGGATTACTCTATTTTTACTTCTGCTGTTATTTAAGCCTCAGATGAAACAAACAGTCTTTGACAGGGATGCATTTCTTCAGAGCTGCTTTGTCTCTCTGCAGTTCCCCAGATGAATGCTGTTCCAATAATTCGTATCACTATTGGAGTTCTGTTGCTCCCCTAACACAGGCAGCACGTCCGCTCTGTCATCTCCCACTTTCTGAGCATTTGCAGGAAAGAAACAATAGATGAGAAACTGACAACTGATAGTATCCAACTACTCAAGGCAAAGCAACCTGAGACCACAAAGTAACACTTTAGACTGTAATGGTATACTATGGTAGGTCAGCTGTCCTCTGGTGGCATTTTGAACCCCCAGAAAAACTAGAAAATAATGCTAATATGAGTCTAGGGGCACAACAACACAGGAAAAGGATTTTAAACAATTGGTATCATGAATATCATAGCATTCAAAAGGTGGATGTCCCTTTAAAATGATACTATGTTTTAATAAAAGGGAAAATTCTCAATTTCTCCTTAGCAGGAGAACAGCAAAGGCTGAAATAATCCTGACAGATACTGTGTTCCACTTCAGTAAGTTAAATATGTTATGGATGTTAGCACCACAAAGCTTACAATTATATTGCATGAGGATCAGAAGCAGTGTAAGCATTTATATAATAAACCTTCAGTTTAGAAGAAATAACAGGATATAATGTTAGTATTCTGATAAGAGCCATATTTTTAATACAGCTTGTGAAATTCATTCTGGTTTATGAGATCTTAATTACAATAACTTCTGTGCTGAAACAAGCGAACAGATGAATTGTAGCAATCTTCACGGCAAGATCTCCATCAAAAAACCCAAGACGTGTCTACAACACTTAGTCATATGAATCAATAATAATTCTCACAAGCTTACTAACTAAAATGATGGTGAATTGCATTCCATGTAAAGGAGTTCCTAGAAAGTTTGTCAGGCAGCTGAGGTTAAGAGAATGTTTGAATTAGACGGGTATTTCAAATAAGAATTTAAATCTCAATTAGAAAATAATCAATGCACTAACATCTACTAATAACCACAAAATCTGCTGGAAGAGGCAGTTCAGTTACTACTTTTTTAGAGTTCAGTAAAAGTCATTTTTATAGACAAGGGTAAACATTTTTAACACTTACTTTACAGCCTCCACTGGGATGGTATATACTGCTGCCAACTCAGCACCACTTCCTGACACTAAGTGAAAAAAGAAAGAAATGTTAAACACAGTGGCAGAAGAAAAGATTAAGTACCTTGATTCATTTTTCCAGACTGGAACCTGATTGCACTTGGGACAGCACAGCTTTTATGAAAGGGCATTCCCTTTTTGAATTGCAGTCAATGAGTTGGGAATCCTGCTCCCCACCCTTTTGCAGAACACACATTTCCAGAATCTTGTCATTTGAAGCATTTATATTCATTTAAATGATCACTTCAATATAGAAATCACATAAGGATATAAATCCAACGATGTCATTAAATTCTTAAGAAATGATTCCTACCTAATAGTCCTTCTTAGATCACATAAGTCCTTCAGGACATAAAGGTATTATGGAGCCAGACTAGAACCACTTATTACCATGACCTTATTCACATGGCAGTGTTGGAGAGCAAGGAGACAAAATAATTACAGTCACAAGGCCTTCAGCATGACTTCTATGGACAAGACTAGCCAATGAGGTGCTATTCTCACCCCACTGGCTAGGTAGTAAGCTGGAGGAAAAGGGAAGAGAAAGCAATCTGGTGGAAATTTCTTTGTACTCCATTCCCTGAATGAAAGATCTTCTTGTGCACTCTAAAGAGAACCTATTTTATTGCAAATCTTTGTTCCTTTTACTTCATGAAGAGAACTGATAGAAGACAAACCATTTCATAACTTACGTAAAGAAAACCCTCCCACAGTCGAGCTATTTACAACCATTAATAGAACAGATCTTGGCATGCTAGAGATGGAGCATGTATGGCTGGAAGAAGCAGTGGAATACCATGCCTTCTATTTCAGGTGGAAAGCAAAAAGCAAAGAGGAGACTGAAATAGTTGCTACGTGGAAACCTTTTCAGAATGAGGAATGAAGCAGGGTTTTGAGGCCACAGCAAATTGTGCCCAAGGCCCAGAGTAAAGGTCTTGGTCATTACAGCTCATAGGAATTACAGTAAAATGGGTAACAAATGAAGCCTTGAGAGCCCCATTTGAAGCATTTTCCAACAGCATCAGAAAATTCCCAAACTATTCCCATGACCAAGGGCCATACTGATGTCATCATACTGATGTCATCATTACACATAGGCTGAATGAAATGACTTATTTCTAAATTCACAAGGTTCTTGAGACTTTCAGCCAAAGCAGTTGACAAATATTATATTATGATTTTAGCAATAGGCTGCAGATAACATTTTCATAAACGTCAGGTCTAACTATCAGGAGCAATTCAAGCTCAGCTTTAAGCTTCTAAATCACTTCTATGCATCTGAAATTTTTGCTTGAGATGACGCCAGGATGTATAACCAAGCTTAAACAAGCACTAAGTAATGGAACTTGCTAGAAAATAACTAACAGAGATGTGAATATTACTTGTTGAAAAATTAGAAGGGACAGTCATGGCAGGATTTCCTATGACTTCAGGCAATCCTCAGAAGCAAAAGAATGATGCTATTTTTAAAGCAGCTGCTGTGTATAACGTCTCCCTTCAGATTTCCATACTGCAGCAGGGACCCTCTGCTGACACGAGAAAATACTTGAGTCAGTATTTTCCTTCCCAACCTTTCAGCTGACCTAAGCAGCTCCTAACATTTTCCAGGCTAAGATGACTTAGCACTTCAGTTAGATAACATTTTTTTCATTCCTTCCTAAAGTTCAAATCACACACAAACAAAGTCTTTCACTGCTTTCAGGCTCAAACCTCCCTGGCTTTCTGAAGCACCAACAATTCGGCTTTACTGAGTAAGGCTCAGACTAGAGTGAGTCAGACATTGACATGCGAAGAAAGCAAACTCCTGCTGTGCCTACCATTATACAGGAAGACTTTGAAAGAGATTCTTCATTTCAGGCTCCTATGCCTTTGTCATCCAACAGTATTCCTAACCAAAGCTGAGTTTTCTCTTTTCAGACCCCTCCTGGAAGCCTACCAGCTGCAGCAAACAATCCAGAACTGCTTTACTTGATCCCGAACCAGACCCATTTGCTGTTTTCATTAATCCTGAAAGTGTAGTTTCTCAGGGCTCATTCAAACCCTGATTTTCCCAAAACATTAGCAAAATTCTTATCAGATATGGGAGACACCAAGCTTATGATATAAAAGCAAAGTGAACATTCTCCATTTTCTGAGCTGTACATGCCCAGATGAATACAGAAAGTTCGGCCAGGGTTTTGGTAGGTCTCAGATACTCTGGTCTCGACCAGTCCCCACAGAGATTCTTTCACAGATTCAAAGGGGAATTAGTGAAATACATCTGTATATGGAGCACATTTATATCACCAATTCCAACAGGGTCCCATAAACCTCCTAATTTTTGCAAAAGAGAATACACTCCCCTGAATACCAGCAGCACCACCTTATTCAAGAGTGTATCAGCAATCTTATGAAATCCCAAATCAATCCAGCTGGTATATTTTCCCTGTCAATAATAGCAACACTGAGTTTTGTTTGGAATATGTAACCTTTTCATTTCACAGCCAGAATAATTCTACTCCACAGGTAGGGAGATCAAGCCACAAAGTAGTGACTAAGTGAGAGTACCCAGTAGCTCTATATCTTAAGGCAAGATTCAAACCTAAATATTGGATGTTATCACCCAGTTTCTTACTTAAACAGCCTGCCCAGACAGCTAACAGTGTTTCACATCCTGATGTCAGTTACAACTTCATCTTCAGTGGGCAAGTTCAAACCTCCAGCAGCCAATAGCTGTGTGTACCTTCTGCATGTGCTTTTACTGACTCTGAATTATTAACTCTGCTGGAGCATCTGATCAGTGCTAGCTATTTTTGGCTGGTATTCACAGCTCCGATTGAGTAGACTCTGGCGAGTACACCTGGCAACACTGGCTCAGAACAAGGCTGACACAGACACACAACACAAACAGGAAGAAACTGAGAGAGAGTCTGGGTGTTATTGATATAAGATTGTATTTTTACTAGGCTAATAAATACTGTGTCTGCTCATTCCTGTAGGTGTGTGGAAATCTCATTTCACAATGTCACATTCCTGAAGAGCACAGTTGGCATAATCTAGATAATGTATTTTAAATACTACATGTATTACCTTGTCATTTTATAAATTAGACTGCAGTAGACTTCAGAAAAAATAGGGAAAGGTAATCCCATGGAAAGCCACTAGCTTCCCTTCTGATGCTGGTTTAGCCACCATCATTCCTATCTAGCCAGCCTAATTGCTTTGTTTTTGTGGGCTCTTGGGGAATAACATTACTACAAGTTTGGAAAAAATAACAACATTGACTGTGCTGACTTTTGATCAATCACCACCTAGCCAGGAAAGTCAGACCTATTAAGTGTCCTTTCTTTGCCAAAGATTAATGAGCCAAAATAAGTACCAGAGGCTGGAACCAGCTCTGTCTCAACTCTATTCAATGGCACAGTCACACTGAAAGATGAGGAAAAGGAAAAAAGAAGTGAAAGAAAACAAAGATTAGTAATATGCGCAGCATTATTTTTCTTCTCCATTATTAAGTATGAGCAACTACTAGAATCATCTGAAACTCATGGGGACCACAGTGTAGATAGGTGATTTTAGATTTTATGAAACAAAATTCAAACAGCTTCAAAATTAGGAAAGAACAATAAATAGCTCTTTTTGTTCAGCACTTCACAGACATGTGGAGTTGAACAGAAAGAAACAGAAAAAGAAGCTAGCTTTGTATCAGAGTTCCAAAAACCAGTTTCTCAAACAGCAAAAATCAACTCTTAGTTTCCTTTTGAGTCTTCCATTTTGTAGACCCTAGTGAATTTTCATGAGACTGCTGTTGCCCAGGAGCTTTCCCCAGCTTAAGCTGTTTGGTACAATACTGCTCTGAAAGTTCCAGCTTCAGATCAAACCCCTGCTTGCTTGCTTGCTTTAAATTTAGGATCACTTCAACCACATTAAAACTTGGATCTCTGTTATATTGTTCACTATTATCAATTTTTAAAAGGTTCATTAACCTAAGCAGAGGATACTGTCTTTTGGCCTCATGA